TAGGGTTTGGCAGAGTTTTTGATTCGATCAGAAAGAAAAAAAAAAGAGAGAAATGATGAAGTTTCGTCGAAAAGAAAAAAAAATAAAATTTGAGAGGACACTAAAAAGGAACGTTAATTTAGAATTTTTCGAGAAATTAAAAACGAAATTGTTAAAATCGAGAGAGACAATAATATCGAGGAATTTTTAAAAAGGTATCTACGCGATTTGTTAGCGCGTGAGGAAGAGTCGCATGCACTGAAACCACATGTTTTGGTTCACTTATTGAAATTTTAAAAAAGGAAATCGTTTTAAAATCAGACACTTATTGGTTTCATGCATTATGGTAAATAAAATTCCAACATATTTGGGAATATTTGTTTGTTTTTGACAACATATTTTGGATATTAATTAGATTACAGTTAATACATGTGATACATTATTAGTACATTGTGAATCATGTCCTTCCTCAAATGTTTTTTTGAGATTAATATGCCAAAAGTAAAGTTGGTCCTTGTTATTATGGTATAAAATTAATTCTTAACATATCACTCTAGTGATACATTTTTTGTTTTTGAATGAAATTATATGTTTCTGAATAAATAATTTTATAAAACCCCTTCATTTTACAGCTAAAATAATTTGTTTTCCATCAAATTGTACCTTGTTTATTTTTTTCTTTCAAGTAATTTTTTTCATTTGTGGTCTAATAAATCAAATAGAAATATTACAATGTAAACAATTCCCACAAATGATGGTTTCTTTACAAGACCATTCGGGTTTTCGGTTTAGTTCAATTTGGATTTTGGATACTAGTCCCCAAAATAGAACTGGTTTTATTTTGGTTCGGTTTCGGTTTGGACTATCCTATTTTATTTTGGTTCGGTTTGGACTACTCTACTATTGTCACTGTTCTGTAACGATCAATCTTTTGTCGTGAGCTACAACAAGTCATCAAAGGCTTTTTTTTTTTTTTGCTTATTTGCATACAAAAAAAATGAAAAAAAAATGCAATTGTTCCATAAGAGAACAAAGGTGAAAAAGAAAAGAAAAGCCTTACGATTTATATTATTAAGATTGCAATGAGACTCTCCACTCAAACTCCATTGCTGTGTTATTCTTGCATTCCTCACTCATTATTACCTCAAAACTTGGATTATCAAATGGTCAAATCTCAAACTCCAGGTGTGTCTGATCTCAAAACTGTCAAGAAAAATCAACATTTGTGAAGAACATATTAGAATGAAAGAAAGAGTTGACAAGAACTTGCAACTTGTGAGTAATAAATAGATAACAAAAATCTTTGTGTCTCTAGTAATTACCCTTTTTGAGAAGTATTTGGAAAGTTTTAAGATTCTTTATCAAGTTCTTGTTTTTGAACAAGACAGATTAGAACTATGAACATGAATTCAGAACCAGAAGCAGAGGAAAGAATCAATAATAAAACCAGCCCATAAAAAACTAGGTATAAGCGGGCCGGCCCATTCACTAGACCGTCCCGGTCCCGCGATGAATCCCGAAAAGAATAATCCGTGACGGATCAACTTGCTAGTACCGCGAATTGTAGATACGGAGTCCGAGTTCACCCCCAATAGTGTTCGCGGTTCACAATTTTATTTTAATTGTTTAAAACTAATTAAATAATTATAACTATCAATTTTTTCATAATTTTTTTAATTTTTACATTTTAAAAAAAGAAATTTCTTGTTTATTTGCTGAATATTCTTAATAGGTTATATTTTATAAAATATATAAAACTAGTATTAAAGCCCGCACGGACAGAGGTTCCCACATACGGTCGTAGAGTTCAGAAACTTTGGGTTATTAAACAATCACTACCCAACTTCATACACAAGGGTATGATTTCTGTTTGTTGCATTAATAAGTAATGA